GAGGGCAATATTTATATATAGAAGGTGCACAGTGTCATTCACATAAACACTAAACCCCATCATGGTGACACACATGATACTGAAATAATGCAATAAACATTAATTTAACAACATTAGATGTAAGATGTACAATGTACACAACTGATAAGAAAAAACTAAGAAACATGTTAATTCAACAAAAAAACATCAAATATGAATTGTCATGCAGGGAATTCTGGGAGTGTCAATTTACGTTTTTTCACTGTAACTTATACAATGACTTTTTTTTTTTCACTTCCAAAAACCGTATTTTTAACAGTATTTTACTGTAAAATTACATTAAATGTAATTACATTTATTCACCGAATATAGTATGGAAACTTACTGTTAACCAGTTAACAGGTTTTTACTGTAGCATTTTTACAGTCTTTTACTGTTAAAATCACAATAATTTTTTACAGTGTAGGCAGGAAGCTCTTAATGTCTATGTTTGTCTGTATCCTAGACTGCTTTCATCCGCACTGGATATGTTCCCTGGCACAAGAGCTTACACACCACATGATCAAGATACTGCCATGAATTCCAGTGTCAAAGTCCCCGGATTTATTGCAACCTCATTTAGTAATATGGGTTTTCCATGCACTGGATGTAGTTATGGTATTCATTTCGAAAATATAGTCAATGCAGTATGGTACAATTATCAGTTTACATTGTATAGTACTGTACTACCACAAGTCTACATTGTTGGCAATGTTTTGTTCAGAGTTATTTTAGTATTATTCATATATATTCATAGTTTTAATTAGCTGTAAATTTTATATTTTCGGTTTTAGTCAATTTTGATGTGCTTATTAGATTTTGTGTGTATGTGTGTGTGTGTGTGGAGTTATTTTAGTATTATTCATATAGTATTCATAGTTTTAATTAGCTGTAAATGTTATATTTTCGGTTTTAGTCAATTTTGATGTGCTTATTAGATTTTGTGTGTATGTGTGTGTGTGTGTGTGTGTGTGTGTATATATTTCATTTTTAGTTTTAGTAGTTCTGGTAGTTTTAGTAGTTCTTTTATCAGTTTGTCGCCAAGGCAACATTGCACATTGCTGTTTAAGTTTTTTAAGCCTAACTTTTTCTTTTAATTTCATATATTTAATTTCAGCTTTATTTTAAATAACAGTAGTTAACAGTAACAACACTAGTTTGGTCAGACATAAAACTGGAATCGAAATCAAACTGAAATCAAAAAGTAGCTCTATTCAACAGTTTGTCTAATAGATTCTCACGAGTTAAGCAACGTTTGATGGTATGAAACATATGTCATTGCCAGTGTTGGGCAAGTTACTTCCAAAATGTAATACATTATATATTACTAGTTACTGTCTTTTGAAAGTAATTAGTTACATTACAATATTACAGCATGCTACTATCAATGCGTTACACTACTTTTGAGTTACTTTTGAGTTACTTTCACCAAAATATCCACAGACTTATGACTAGGCATTCTAAAATGCTAAAATGTAGTTTATTGCTGCTCATTAAACATCCAGTAGTTCATAATGTGCTAGGTATATAT